TAGCTAGTACTACCTCCGGTCCTTAATATAAGATATAAGAGCTCGTTTGATTTTTGCTTTGGTCCTAAATATAAGATCACAATCTATTTTGTCTCTTATATTTATCTATTTATTTCCAAAGTAGTCCTTGTAATAATAGTAGTTTCAACCAATATACTTGATTAGTAAAGACACTTTAAGAAAGACAACACCTATTTATTACAAATAATTAACTTAACGAATTTTCTTAATCTACTCAAATTAGTCAACTAGTTCTTATATTAAGGATCGGAAATAGTACTACCATTTGATGGAACTTTTAACATGTGCAACTATTCAAAAACTACTTTTAAAAAAGTGAATAAATATGAGAGACAAAGTGAATTAGGGTCTTATATTTCAAACTAAATTAACTGTTAGACTAACTTTTGTACAAGAAAGATTCGAGGTAATGTTTATTTTTTTGACACCATAAAATAAGTTACTCTATTGATTCTATTTATAGGCACTTTCAACATATTTCATTTCGATCAAGGAAAACCTTAAAGTACATTAACTTTTTTAAAAAATATAACAACTTTTTAACTTTATCTTATTCAATATATATACTTTTTTAAAAAAAAACTAGGAAAAATAACAAATAAAGAAGTCTAAATATATGATATCTCAATTTGAGAAGCTAAGGATTTTAAATGACAAAGAGAGAAGTCATTCCCAAATTGGAATTTTGAAATTTACTAAAATGATAAAAATGTCCTTTATCTTTTTTTTTTTTAAAAAAAAAGGGCTCAACCCCTCACCAATGGCTGGCCACTGCTAGCGATCAACCGTCTAAGGAGCATAATGGAATTCACAACCCAAATGAAGCCTCCCTGAATATAAACTCCAGTGCATTAATTAGCAAAACTTTTGGAGTTGTGAATTCTCTTTTAAGTTTTGTAATATTTATGTTTCCTATGAATCTTTGAATTTGACTTGTAAATTGCTGAATTTTTGTTATAAATTATTAAATTTCACTTGTTTATTCATACTCAAACACTTATATTTGGGGTTGTAAATTCCCTTATATTTCTTATGAATCGTCGAATTTGGGTTATAAAACTATGAATTTTTGTTGTAAACCTTCGAATTTCACTTGCTCATTCACACATAAACACTTGCATTTTGGGTTGTGAATTCCATTATGTTACTTGTAAGTCGCTAAATCTTTGTTCTGAATTACTGAATTTCACTTGCAAATTGTCTGATTCCACTTATTCATTTACACTTGGACACTTGCATTTGTTTTGTTATATATATTTTTCTTTGTATTATATGGTTAAATGACTCAATTGGCTTAGTGGTCACATTATTTTTGGTGTGCCTATGGGTCATGGGTTCAAACCCTCCCTTAACCACCTTATTTAAAAAAATAAAAAATCCTCTGATGGTTGGCCACCTAAGCTCCGAGCTTTGGCGCCAGCCACCTAAGTGCCCGTAGTCAGACCTCCAACCTCTAATGGCCGATGACCCTTAATATTTATTTTTTAAAAAAATAAAAAGATTTTACCCTTAAAATTTAATTTTATTTTGGTCCAAGGAGGTTGACTAAAGTTTTCAAATGTTTTGGAAGTTGACTGATATTAATTGGTTACAGTGGTCTTTAAATGAGATTTTCCCTTTTCTTTTTAATTGCCGGAAAAAGTTAATTACTCTATCTCTATTCCCTCAAATGCCAAGTCTATAACCCTATAAGGGTGTGTTTGGGATCACATTTGGAGCCCCAAAGTGACTTCCCAACTAGCAAAAGGGGTTTTTTGGATTTGGAGTGTGTTTGAAATTATGTTTTTTCAATCTGACTTATTTGTGCAAATGAGTTTTCGAGGAGAAGCTCCCTTTTTGTTGCTTTCACCGGTGCGTCCAGAAAAAGCTGCAGGGGCATTAACAGTAGTTTTTCACCTACTCATCATATATTCATTTTGGGTGTTTGTATGCTTTTATTTTCAGCTGGGAAATCTAGAAAATGAGAAGAACAAAGGCGTAGCGTTTGTCACCGTTATATAAATATATATATATATATATCCATTAAATATATGTAATTAAGTATTTTAGTATTTTTCAATTTCTTCCTAGCAATAAATTAAATTTCTTTATTTTTAATAATTTTATTTTCAATACTTCTTTTAAAATGATCACATTATATATATAATATTAGATATGTATTACTCAATAAAAGTTTTGTCCTTTTAAGTCATTTTGTATCTAAACTTACTTTTCTATTAATCACCCAAATAAGTTTCAGCTTCTCAAACTTTTCAAACAGACTTTTTTTACAAAACTCAGTCTAAACACAAATCACATTACACTATCTGACTTCTATCCAATCTAACTTCTGTAAAAGTCATATTGAAAAAAAAAATTAATTCTGTCACCGCTAATCCAGACACACCTTAAGTCTTCTAACATGCAAGCAACAGTACTTTACATGGCTTTTGGCGTTTTGGCCTTTTGGGGGTCGTGCACCTGCGTTTTGATGCCTAGTTGTGTGGTTATACGTAGAAAATTAAGGAGAAAATAGTGTAACATTAGGTTGCAAACAAGGAACAGAAAATAAGTTAATCAGTAATCTTCTAATTTTATTAATAAGTCATTTTCAACATATTCTAATAAAATTGAAAAAAAAAACTTTAAATCTCACTAACTCTAATTTAAATTTTAATAACTCTTTAATTTTACTCTTATTTAATGTATACATACTCTATTTTACAGAGTCACATGGATGAGCAGTTGAATGGCTTTAATTAGGTGCTTTATGTTTTTATGTGTGTAGGCCTATTAGGATATGCAAAGGGTCAAGATATCTATTTAATTGGAATTCCCAATCACCCATTTCCACACGCCTTAGCAACCCCTTTCACAAAATCACAAGAAGATCCAAATGAGGCTAAGTGTCTATCTACATTAATACTCCTTTCTTTTTTATAAATATAAGGCATTAATTTTCACTTAGTCCAACCTCACAAAGAGAAATGACTGAGCAATTAGGATCCCCAAAGGTTTTTTTGTCTGCCATTTTTAAGTGCCAATAATTAATTATTCTTGTTTCTAATAGAAGGTAAGTAATTTTGATACACTCCTGAAGAACTTGAAGTAAAGAAAATATTAATTGCTCTCAATTAAAATTTCATGAAATTCCTTACACATATTGAAACACGAGACTTCTTTTAAAAAATGTCTTAAATTTAAAACGGACGGAGCAATTAGTGGTATTAGATAAACTAGCTAGTGCTAGAGACTAGTTTAGAACTTTGCGAAATCTAACAATAATCAATATTCACAAAGTCAACAAAACATGAGTTGTAGTCAATTGTAAAATCCAACAAAAGCTATTTACGCAGTCCTTTGGAAGGGGGAAAGTTGTAAATTCTATGGGTAATTGTCCATTAAAAACAAAAGAAAAAAAAATACTCCTCCGATCTTAAATATAAGATTAATTTTGTAATATAAATTGTACTACAAAATGGGTCTTATATTTCAAATTGGAAGAATACTATGTTTGGACTTATATGAAACAATAACCTCATTTTTTTCCAAAAGAAAAAAAATCACTATAATTCCAAGCTAGGGCATATATGCAAGCTATACACACAAGTTACAACTTCCGGTCATTAATATAAAAGCTCATTTGACTTTTATTGTAGCTCTAAATATAAGACCCCGATCCATTTTATCTATTATATACTTATTTATTTTTTCTCAAGATAATCTTTATAATAATGATAATTTTAACTAATACATTTGATTAGTAAGGATACTTTAGAAAAAATAACACCAATTTATTACAAATAACTAATTTAACTAATTTTTTTAATCTATTCTAATTAGTCAACTAACTTTTATATTGAAGACTGGAGATGATATAATGCTGACGTCAATTTTTTTCTGCCTCTTTAGACGTACAAGGAGGTCCTACGAAGTTGTTGTTTATGAGCTTTTAGTTTTGCTTTTCAGAACAACTCTATATCTTTGTCTTTTTTTTTTTTGTCAAAGGAAAAAAACAAGCCCCTTATGAATTTGTTTTCAAAGCATATTCATTAACGTTGGGGCAGGGCTAGCTAACTATCACTGGGATCGCGCAATTAATCAGGATACTCCCTAGTCAGCTCCGTCATTGATCCGGTAATGCCATAAGCCCCAAGTCAAAATTGGCGGGCTCAGATTTTTTTTTAAATTTTTTTTAGTATCAATATATTACCTTCGATCCTAAATATAAGAGCTAGTTGATTAATTTGAAAAAATTAAAAAAATAAGTTAAGTTAGTTATTTGTAATAAATATGTGTTGTTTTTTTTAAATATCTTTGTCAATTAAGTATATTGGCTAGAACTACCATTATTAAAAAGACTGCTGTGAAAAAAAATATAAATATGAGAGATAAAGTGGATTGGAATATTATATTTAGGACTAAAATAAAAGTCAAATGAAGTTATTATTTATCAAACTCTTTTAGATGCCAACATTATATTGTTTGACATCAATTAATGCTCTATGTCCAAATGAGAATAATTATATGATAAGGACCTTTTTTCTTTTTAACTTAGAGTATCTCAATTTAATTTAGACTTAAAACCAATTTTTATCGTGTAGGGAGTTTTAAGGTTAAAATTCTGTTTTCTAAAATTTGAATTAGTATTGCCTCCCTACGAGACGGCTAACTATCTCATAAAGGACTTGATTGCTGCTAGATAACAGTTTGATTATCTTCAAGAGAGAAGATAAAACTGCATATGTCAAAATCTTCGCTTGTGTTTTTATTGTCTTATCTCTCTCGGTTTGACCGATATATATAGATGTGAAACACAACACCGTACGTAGTATTTAAGATGATACGATATATATATATATATATATATAAATAATTTGATGAATCTATGTCAATTCGTCTACTCAAAAATGTTAATAACTTGATGTGGACAATTCCTTATTTCGTGCTGAACTAATTCCAAAGTAGAACACCTATTAAAAAGATCAAAGAAAAAGGAATTCCGAAGAACCAATATAAAGGCAATCATTTATTTATGTCAAACTATGTATTTTCTGTATACTTCTACGTTTCTATCCTTGTTCAAGACCTACACACACTAATGGGAAAGCATGATATATAATTTTACAATACTACCCTCCATGCATCAACTAGCTAATTTGCACTTGGGGGTGTTGGTCCAGTTTCTTTGCGAGCCACACCCATTTCGGTCTCGTTATGATTGTCTTCCTCTCTGAACTTCTTGTAAATATCACTTCTGTAAAAGCTTCTTGTCCTGGCCACCAAAATAAGGGACACCACTGCCCCAAACAAGGTCACCCCTGTGATAATAAAGAAGGCCAATCTGTAACACTCATTCCCATTACAGTTCAGTTCTTCTCCTTTCTTCCTCTTCAAACCCTTCTCACCCAACTGCCTCATGGCTTCCTTATCGTACAGATAACCAGCCACTCTCACGCTCATCAGGTACGACCCTATAGGGCTTGCCACTGACCCTACATTAAAAAGCGTCGAGTAGTATTTGAGTCCAAAAAGTTCAGAAATAATGGAGAGAAGTATTGGCCAGTTTGCTCCGAAGCAGAACCCTATAATTATTGAGGCCACGTACAGTCCATTTGGGACGTTGAGGGCTACTAGAAGATGGCCCACGCATGAAAGGACCAGAATTAATGTGAGCATGAAGGGTCTTGGGAATTTTAGCTTTGTCACCATGAACTCTGAGATCACCCCTTGTACTATCTTCCCCAGATAGATCCAGATCGCCATTAGAGACACAAACGTTGTTATGCTCTGTGGTGAGTATCCTAAAGCTGTCCCTATTTGGCTTAGGTTGTTCACCACCGTGAGGGTACCTCCAAGCCCACATATTGTTGCAGAAAACAGAATCGCCATGTCTAGACTTAGAATTGCTTGCAGGATTGTATAGTCTTCCCCTCTTTCTGGTTTTCTGAATATGTTTCTCCACCATGAACAAGACGCAGAAGCAGCTTCTCTGTGTTGTTCTTCTTCTTCAGGCTTGTGCTTCGTCTTCTCGTACTCGAGCTTGGGCTTTTCTGTGGCTATGGTGATTACTTTCTGAGGTTCTTGTAACTGTCTGGCTTTCCAAACCTTAAGCTCCTCAGTGATTACAACGACGACGGGCAGGATGAGAAGGAGGAGCATAAAGGTAGATGTAAGATAATACTCGTTCTGGGTAAATTTGAGACTTTTTTCCAGAATGATCATGACGAGAAGAAAACCTGCGAGAATAAGCGACAAGTAGACGAACTTGTAGAAATTTCTTGTGTCGTTTTGCTGTTGAAGCCCTTTATGGTGCTTTATGACTGGAACAAACAGAAGCGAAGTTGCTGCAGGAAGCCAAGCCATGAGCAGAAGAAGAGACTTGGAATCATTCCCATAAAAAGCGTAATATAACTGAGTTATGATTGCCCCGCTCAAGCCCAAGTAGCCGCTCAACATCCCGATGACGATGCCGCGAGAGCCGGGGAAGTTCTTGACGGAGGTGACGAAGACGCCGGTGTTGGTGGAGCAGTGAGAGTTAGCGCCGATGAAAACATAGAAAGCCATGAGAGGGACACTAGGCGGGTGGGGAAATTTGCGGTTGACGGCGAGCCAGATCATGAAGTAGCCGAAGAAGTTGAGGACGGCACCGACGGACATGACGACGAACGGCGGAGTAACCTCGTTGAGGAGGCCGGAGAGGATTCCGATGTTGGAGCCAAGGTCTTTGAAGAAAGAGAGCAGGTTGAGGGTGGACTGGTCGTAGCCGAGGACGGACTTGATGTCGCGAGAGTAAAGAGCGAACATGTAGCTGGCGCCGGAGACGGACATGATGAGGAAGGAAGAGAATATCATGAACCACCGGCCGGTGAGAAGCTGAAGGGTGAAGGACCTCAACGGTCGGAGGCATGTGGCGGTGTGTGGTTGTGAAGAGACCACCATGTTTGGATGAACAGAGAGTTACAGGAAGAGATCTCGATAGAAGATGATGATGATGAAAAGGGGGCCACCAAAGTGTGCGATTGTGTTTGGTTCGAGGAAGACAATTATCGAACCGCTTTGGCAAAATTAAAGGAGTTGTGCTGTGTGAGAGATAAAGCTTGCTGGCTAGCTATGTGGAGTTATATAGTGAAATTTCAGTGCAGTAGTATTGTTATGTCCCCTGTACACCATCTCTGGTTCTCTCATGTTATTATTACATTTGAATTTGACATGAACCATATGAATTTCATTTCTTTTTGTTTTCTTTAACTTTTTTATTAATCTGAATCATTGCACTCACCTTGCATTATGATAGTTCAGATAAAAAATATAAAAAATATAACAGTTCAGGTTAATTAATTTTTTAGACTAAAGCTAATTAATTTGTATAAAATATGGATACCTTACGTTTTTTTATAATATATGTATATGATTTAATCAGAATTCATATATTATATTCCGTGCTAATAATTACTCCCTCTATTTCTTTCCTTGTTGGTCAAATTACTCCCTCCATTTAAAAAAATGTTTGTATTTCCAGAGGAAAATTTATAAGCCTTTTTAGAAATTCAAAACAATGTTCATTAATATTTTTTCCTTTATTTACTTTTAATAATCTCAGTTTCTTTAACACAATAATGATGTTTTTTTGCCAAGAACACAATGACGCTTGTAATGATGGGCGGATTTGATGGTGTAGTTCATACTTTTATGCATTTATTGTATTTTTTTAATATGTGTGATTTATCCATGGAAATCTGTACTTTTAAAGCGATTGGAGCATAAGAAAAGGTTGTACAAGTCAGTTATTGTATGTTTGACGAGCTTTGAAGCCTTAAATCAGCTACTACTTAGAGAATGAAACTATAAGAAAAAAAATAATTTAAAAGGCTAAAGGATATTTTAGGTCCTGTTTGGTATGAAATATTGAAAATAAGGGATAAGAATTGTGATTACAATTGAAAAAAATCATTAAAATAGTATTTAGCATGAGTAATTATCTGTTACATGGGATTAAGCAAACTCATAGAGGTAGAATTAAGAAATACCACTTCCTCCTATGATATTGCCCAATCCTATATACATGGGTTTGGCTAATCACATATAACAAACAATCTCTTATGTTAAACACTCTTTTAATAGATTTTTTTCAATCTCAATCCTAATCCCTATCACTAATTTTCAACACTTCATACCAAATGCAACCTTAGTCTTTTAAGTTTACATGAGGTTCCATTTTAGTCCTTTAAATTTAAAAACTGCATTTTTTTCGTCCTTTAACTTTAACACTATTAATATTGTTAATGAAAAATGCCAACTCAGCAAATTTAAGTGCTGACTCAACAATTAAATAATGACATATTAATCTTTAATTTAAAAGATATGTAAATCGAAAAATAATTAAAAACCTAAAGAAACCGTCATCAACATCAAAACTTTCATTCGTCCAAATTTTCAATGTTGACAACCCTATTATCTCTTTCTCTCTCTCTCTCTGCAGATATTTTTTTACGAAATAAACAACTCTCCTCGTCTGCAAACATAAACCTGGTGAGTCTTTTTTTCTTTTTCAATATGTTACAGTACAAGTGAATTTTTTTTGCATTCATCCTTGATGCAATACGATTTGCATTACGAGTTTTCCCCCCTCATTTTTACTGAAACACAGTGATTACTCACATAGCCAAAGTTGTTAGAGTCGTTGCCTCCTTGCCGGTTAACGGCGCAGCAACGAATCTTGTGTCTCCCTTTGGCTATCGGAGTACCCCAAAAAATCTTCCAGTTTCGGCGCTTTGTCATTCTGGTTTTGTGGGCTCGCTAACCTCTCTCCACTTTGGTTTTGTTGGTGGTTCATTATTCTGCTTGCTACTTCAGATTTGCCTAGTTGATGAAAAAACCAAACCAAATCAATGAATCATCAACAATATTCTTTGGTCAGCTGTTCTAGGTGAAGGAAATATTGAAGAATGGGGTCAGTACCTTTAGTTGCCGTGGTGGCAGATGTGGATTGGAGAGGTAGAGAGGCCATAGTCGAAAGAGAAGAAGAGGAAGCATTTCAATGCGCAGGTTTATTTTAATTTTTTAATGTAAAATATTAAATTAAAAAAATAAAATTTTTTTGGTAGAAAAAAATTAAAATTTTACATATGCTTTATCAACAATACACAGTCAAAAATTAAATTTGCTTACTTAGCATTTTCCGTTAACAACGTTAAACAGTGTTAAAACTAAAGGACCAAAAATACACTTTCTAAACTTAAGGGACCGAAATAAAACCTCATATAAACTTGAAGCGCCAAAAATATTCTTTAGCCTAATTTAAAATTATAGCAATTATTAATGGAATGTCTCTGTTCACACATATGCCGGAAATCTGAGGAAGTTAAATTGAAATTGTTAACGGGAATAACCAAGTTGAGTAAGTGTTTGGAAGCAACCCAAAAAAATAGGCACTTTTGTATGTTATGAGAAAAACCCTCCTCTTATGTTACCTCATCTTTAATATAAAAGCTAATTAATTAATTTGAATAAATTAAAAAATTTTGTTAAGTTAGTTATTGCAACAAGTAAGTGTTACTTTTTCTAAAATTCACTTGCTAATTATATATATTAGCTATTACTATTATTTGATGAAACTGCTAACATGTGCAACTATTTAAATACTACTTTAAAAAAATAGATAAATAAGTGGATTAGGATTTTATATTTAAAACTAAATTAAATAGTCAACTAACTCTTGTATAAAAAAGATTAGAGTAGTATTTATTTTTTGACAACATAAAGCAATTTACTCCTTCAGTTCTATTTATAAATCACTTCCAACATATTTCACACAAACAAACAAAAAAACCTTAAATTGTATTAATTTTTTTTTTAAAAGATAGCAACTTTTTAACTTTACTTGTATCTAATATATATACCTTTAAAAAACTATTTACACATAAAAGACAAAATAATATATTCATATTAAAAATTTAAGAAGGTGATTTATAAAAAAAAGAAAACATTCTTTTCGCTCTGTGAATGCGACAGGGGGAATACTTCATACATCCACTAGATTAAATGAGAGTACTATTCATCTTCCCGGGGGAGATATAATTTTTAGAGGTTTGAATTTGGTGACACGGTCAAAACAAAATTACTGGAAATGAATGCAATAACGATTTTTGTTTTTGGTCAGCGGGTGCAATGATTAGCATTATTATTGTTTCAGTAAAAGGGTAAACTTTCTTGTCCTAAACTTCTTCTTTTCTTTTTTTTTTTTATACAAAGGAAAAGAAAAACTAACACCTAGGGGCTAGTCCCCAGTGTCCATCTGAATGAGGCAACACTTGCAGACCAAGGTTGGACGATAGAGCAGCACGAGCGGGAAGGTCCGCCCTCACCTTTTCCTCTCGTGGACGGTATTGGAATGACACCGACCAGCTTCGTTGCACTATACTTTTAGCTTCTATTATTAAGGATCGTTCTGCATGTAAATTAGAAACATCCTCATGCAACAGCCTCAGTGCTTCTTTAGAATCTGAGTATAACAACACTTTCCTGTAGCCACCATCCCAAGCTCGTTTGAGGCCCATAACACAGCCCCAAAGCTTGGCCGTTAACTTATCCCCCCGCTGAAGGCGTAGTTGGAAACCTTCTAAGACTTCTTCATGTTGGTTCTTTAGTATGTTGGCACGAGCCCCATTTTGAGTGACCCGAGAAAAAGCTCCATCAACTTCCACCAAGACATCATATCTGTCCATTCCTACTGTCATAGCAGTGTCAATATTACTTATGCCAGGGACTAACTTAACACCAGTCAGATTGCTTTGTGCCCTTTCCATGCTAGCTGTTCAAAATAGTAGTAGCCTTTACGTTGATGCTTGCAATGTCTGACCTAGAGTTTGAGTGGGATATCTCGTTCCAATCATGCCAAATGAGCCAGTAGATGATTACAAAGATGCCCTTCCAATAACAGTCTTGGTAACTGACATTTCTCCTCATGTTCAATTTGAACCAATCCAGTACCAAGGTGGAGAAGAAAGTATTATGAAATCTGGGATCCACAATTGATTCCCAAAAGGATCTAATGACCCCACAATCACGCAACGCATGAAGGCTATCTCCCGTATTCAACATGCACCCGTCACATATACTCGTAGGGTGGAGTTGTCTTTTATATTTCAATTTATTTGTAGTTAATCTATCATGTAGCAGGATCCAAGCAAACGTCTTGCACTGTTGAGGCACTTTAAGCTTCCATATATTAGACCATGTCCCAGGCGTAGGTGCCTCAATGACGTTAAGGGATTGATAAGCTAATTTAACAGTAAACGCCTCGCTCCTTTCAAGCTTCCAGCGAACACAGGTAGCTCCATTCTGATCGGTGACTCGTTCAATGTTTTCCTTAACTTTCTGCCAATTATTTTTGTTTCCATTCCAAGTGTTGGACCCTGCTCTAAGAGGATTAATATTGGGAATTAAATCCTTCCCATAGTTATATTTACCTCTTATCACATGCACCTAGAACATGCTTTGATCATTCACAAGTCCCCACTCAAGTTTCATCATGAAGGCAGGATTTTGTTGTTTGATATGTTTCATGCCTAGGCCACCTAACGTCTTCTCCTCCTTACAAACTCCATCCCAGGCAATGAGATGCATACGCCTTTGCTCGTTGGAAGAGCCCTAGAGGAAATCTCTAGATTTCTTTTCTATGCTTTCATAAGTTGAAACGAGCAAGTTCGCTATTTGCATAGAGTACATAGGCATGGCTGTAAGAAGTGCTTTGGTGAGGGTGTCTCTTCCTGTAAGGGAAATTCTAGAGACTTGCCAATTGCTTAATCTCTCCCTTACTTTGTTAACCACATACTGATAAGTACTTGGCGACACTTTTCCATGATGAAGGGGCACACCCAAGTATTTGTCAAGGTTAGATGTGCTAGTAAACCCCAACTCTTCACTCAACTAAGAGATTCTTGTATGGTTCACATTTTGAGAAAACAAAACTATGGTTTTGGTGATATTTACTCTTTGCCCAGAAGCTTCACAGAACTCGTTCAGGCAAGTCTTTATAGTGTCCACGTGGTCCATGCTAGCTTCTGCAAAGAGTAATAAATTGTTAGCAAAAAATAAATGGGAGATTGGGGGGCCTTCCTTACCAAGTCTAATTGGAGACCATCTGCTCACGTTGATTTCTCTTTGGATCAACAAAGCCAACTTTTCCATGCATATGATGAAAAGGTATAGGGAGAGTAGATCACC